TACCCGCTAAGGTTCTTAGGAAGTCCCCTTTCTTTACTTATTCGGTGTGCTTTTTTCATGACGCTAATACAATGAGATGTCCTGACATGATACAGAGACATTGGCCACAGAAACTAACACGTGGCACCTTTTGTCAATTGAGGGACCACTGGAACAACTACAATGACGGGATGAAGTATCACCATCCTAACTCCTAAGTTTAGCTTGGGACTCGAGCCTTGTACATAGGGTTGTCAATGTGTCAGGTCTACTTGTAGAACTGAAGGACCACACTAATTATATTGATTTTGGATTTGGGTTTTTTTTGGGGGGATAATAACTGATCAGGTTATAGGCTCAAAGTACTGTTAGGGTAGGTGTCAGTTCGGAATTGATACCCATTCACAGCAGGTATTGATGCATAGAATGTGGATTTGTTGATCTTTTGAATGTTTATAACTCTGCAGTGGAAATCAGAAATCTACATCGGACATCTCCGGTTTATTTGGGCTGACACCGGTTTTACTGTTCCAAATCCATTTTGTAATTATTAATATATAAAGATCTCTTAATTTTTTATATAATCTTTATTATATTTTGTATCTAAAAGGGCGAATGCATAGTTAAAAACACTTGTTTTACCAAACATATAAACAGTTTACCATTTACTGTATTTTTTAATTTTTATTATAGTTATATTAAATGAAGTTTCAAGCTATGAGTAATTATATCAGTATAATGGGATCTAATCGGGGCTAGACCCGATTCTTAAATCCATTTTATAGAACCAATTAATAATTGATTTGGAAATGCTGAACCCTTCCGTAAACCAAATTAACCCGGTGTGGCCATATCCATCTTCTGAACAACTGACCTATTAGCCTTCTTACGTTGTTAAAGCCAATCACGATGTAAGTAAATCCTAATGTCATTCAGGCCAATTTTTCTATGGTAGATTCATCAGCAACACAAGCAATACTAAATTAATTTATTTGAATAACAAAAATGAAAAAGTTATTTTATGGAGGCGTTTGCCATCGTTACCAATTTTTCAGAAATCAGCGCCATCGCTGATGAATTTACTGTGGTTGGTCGATTTCTAAGAAATAGGCAAATCATTCAGAAAACATAAAAATAAAAAATGACTGCTAATAATTAATATCAAAACAAATTCATTATCAATTTCTCAAAAATCAACTAACATGGTATCAATAATACCAAATAAACAATTGAGAAATAAAAAATGTCAGAAATTGGTGATTTATGAAAAATCTCATAGTCATAGGAGGATGATACCAAACATCACTGAATACTCAAAGTGTTGTGTAAAACGAAAAATACAATTCCTTGCTGCGCTTCAAAGGAAACTTTGAATCTTCAATTCTATTCTATGCTCCCTGCGCCTCAAAGGATTTCAAAGTGAAATCCATAGTCTAAGCCAAGTGGTACTGTAGTAGCGACCAGCGTCACCCGATGTCTAGTGGTTCTTCCTGTAATCCTGTCTGTGACTGGCGTCCCCTTACAGGTGTAGATACTACTCAAACCCAATAACAGCCACTTGTAACCCTAGTAATGCTCAGAACCTGCTTTATTCCTCCCCAATCCCAACAGCCATGTCACTTTTGAACCCTTTCTAATCTTTGGTTGCTCCAATTAAGGCTGCATTTGCCGTATTCTTTATTTTTAAGTACTTGGTCTCCTTTTTCAATTGAATACTCAGTAAGTGTTTATACAGAGGTATTTTATTTTTTAACTAAAAAAAGGAGATAAGTCTTTAAGATAAAAGAATGCCAAATGCAAATGCAGCCTAAATCAATATCTTTCTAAAAATATCAGCTTAATTCCACAGTTAAACAAGCCCTCATGCCCCAAAATAAACTAGTAAAATTGGCCCTGAATTTTCTTAAGTGGGTCCCTGTCTTCTCTACACAAGTCCATATCAGAGAGCTGGCAAGTTGTAGGGCCCACGGAGCCATATGCTAGTTTTCCGTCCCAACACAACATCTAAAAGATTTGGCCTTTGGCCTTTGGCCTTTGTGATGGGCTATTGCCGTCTTCTTAAATTGACCTATTGGGCTTGGGCCCACTCCAACTACTATTGATCTTCAATCACTTAAAATCATCATTTTTTTTATTTTATGTTGAGCAAGTTCAAGTATCGACACGGCTTGTATCGGTACTTTAAATTTTATTTATTTTTTAAACCAATTCAGATAGGTTGGTTTAAGGCCCGACTACCCTCTTAACCATGGTCTCATCTGGTATAATTTCTAGAAGGGCATATTGGGAAGTTATCGATATGATACGTATCCATACTTTGAACCTTAATTTTGAGAATAAATTTTCTTCAGCTGTTTTTAGAAGTCTGGATGCAGTGGGCCCCTTTAAAACAGAGTCCTTATCTGTTCCACACATACCGCTCCTCACACCAACCTCTCGGGATATCTTATTATTCATAAAAAATGTTTTTCAATATACAGTGAGATGTGGCTGTAAGGAGAAAATCCCAGTTCTTTAGAATATGTCAAGCATATTCCGGCAATATTAAACAGTTCTCACTTTTCATCATAGTTTTTAAAAACGAACCGGTCAGGGGCCCAGTTACCGGTTCGAATGGTCCGATTATTTAACCCAAACGATTGGCTCGTTTTGACAAAAAAATAAAAAATTGGAAAACGGTCAAAACCGTTTGAACAGTTCGAACGGTTAGCCGACCAGTTCACCGGTTTGCTGACCAAAATCAACGATTTTGGAGAAAAACGGAACCGGTCAAGTGACCAATTCTCAGTTTTTCCGGTCCGACCGTCCGGTCCGATCTGATTTTAAAAACAGTACTTTTCATCAATCACGAGTAGGCCTGTTCAAGGGCTGGGTAGCCGTAACCTCGCCAGTTTGGGCTCTAATTAAATATCAGGTCAAATTATTTTTCATCCCATCTTTGAGCCCAATCTAATAAAATTATATAACAAAATATATAGTGATAGATGATAATAATATCTAATAAAAATATAATAATATATAGTATTAATAATAATTTATTATTATATAAATAATATAATGAAATTTGCTTATTCATATGCAGACGGGCTTTGAGCTTTATATAAGAGTCGGGCTTCATCTGCTAGTTTCTCATTCAAGTCAGTGAGGCATCTTTTATCATAGTTATCAATTATGGTAGGAATATACAGTTAAAAACAATTGCATCAAAAAACAGTTAAAAATTTATAAAATATAAAGTAAACTAAAATAAAAATTTGAAATGAAAAAATTGCATTTTAGAAATTGAAGGTACTTTCATCATTTCAATACATATACTTTGTTCATATCATAATTATCTAATTTATCTTAAATTTCAATGTTCAAGTAAATAGCTATTTTCTTCATAATACCCCTTGTAATTTGGTAGTTAGAAGGGAGTATGAGTTATTTAATTGAAATCCCATAAGAGGTATAAATAATTTAATACAAAAAAACAAAAAATATAAGGGGAAAAAAACATCCTAGCCTCCTAGGCTTCAAGACAACCTAGATTCCCTATTCTAGGATGTCAACATGTTGGGTTTAGCCCAAATCCAATACAAAACAACCCCAATATGGTTAAGGTTCAGAATATCAACACAATATTCTTGATATGAAGGGGTATTAAATTAATATCTAAAAAGCCATGGGCATGTGACATAGGTGAAACAGTACAGAGTTCATGACTACCACTCAAAGTTAAAAGGAGCAGTATGAATAAAACAGAAAAAATTAAAAGGAGCAGTCATAAGTGCTACTAAATGTGTCCAAGTTTGTTATATTTATAGATCTTCCAAAAATTGAAAAGAATACAAGAATTACTAAAAATTATAGGTTTTAAGTGATTTTGATTGTGAGAGAGGACTATAGTATGGATCTATCAATCAATGATATATTAAACTCAATGACCTAATAATATTTTGTGTTAAAGATGATTTTTTTTTTAAATTTTTAGGAAAATCCAAATATTAGATAAATACTTTATTTATAATTTTCTAAGACAGATTTGTCAATGATCTATCAAACTCATTGACCTATATTCGAGCAAAACTGGGGACGACGTGGCGATGCTGTCAGCACTCCCTATTCTGTGCCGATTAAAGTAGTTCCCATCTTAGGTTTCGTCTTCAACTTATTCTGTATCGATGCTCCCGTTGAATGCAATGTAATACCATCTTTAATTATTGTGTCGACTATAATAAACCCCATCTCATTGAATTTACACCTTAACAACTAAACATTATCAGTATAAATTTTCAAAATCTATGGATTTCAATTTTCATCATGTAAAACTAAATTTACACCTAAAACAAATGCAGCTTTTACTATTTTTGTTGCCACTCTTACTACAAATCAGTTTATCTGATGAGACGATAAGACTCCATAGTAATGGATCTTCATTCTCCAACTATAGAATTATTCATAATCATCATCTTGTGTGGCACTTGCACATTCATGCTCGTTAGAAGGAGAATAGAAAAAATCATAACCTTCTTTCGTCCATTACCTTTATTAATTAGAGAATGAATAGAAGAAAACCCAAATAACCAAATCATATTAACTATAGTGATTTGTCAATGAAATTTGAAATGTCTTCAACATTTCTGCCAGACCACGAAGAGAACAGATGCCAGGAATGGAATTTACCTGGCTGGGTCTCAGAGCTTCACCCTTCAATTCGAGCAGAGGCCTTTTTTATTTGGGTCATAGACTCACGCTCTGATAAATAATTAACCAAAGTCGTTAACTTTTAACTCTGTCATTAACTTAATTATATTTCATCGCCGGTATACCCGAGCCCCGAGGGAATTAAAGGTTAAAGGTTAAGTGTTGCAGGGAGTAAATTGACCAAACTGTCCTCAACTCCCTCTAAACCCTTCACTGACAGTCGGTCTGTCACTGGTGCTGAACAATCAGAGTGCTTTTAGCAGTAGTACCGTCTTTTGGATTTTGTGCGGCAAGCATCAGTCGTCGATTTTCTTCATGTTCTCTCATCTCTCTTGCAGACACACGCACACATTTCCATCGAGGCATCGAGCCATCCCTCGCCGCTCGCCAAACGAAACGGAGACTGACTTTTGTCGAGAATCGAGATTCATTTGAGGGCTTCTGGGCTTGTTACTGGAACAAGAACAACACAGATACATATGACATATTGACATGGCCCCCCATCATGCATAAAATAATGGGATTACAGAAAAAAAGTGTCTAGTACTCTATTCTAGTTTAATATTACCATGATATGAGCTTTCTTATCTAATCTCTCTGTGCAGTTTATCACGCTCCCTTTTTTTTTCCACTTTGTTCCCCTGTTTTCTTTTGTTTTTCCTTTTTTTTTTCCCTGTTCTCAACTTTTTGGAATGATTTTTTGCCCATTTTTTGATTAAAAAAAAAAAAAAACTTAAAGAATCATTAACCAGGAGTGTGAGCGAGCGAGCGAGAACCTATCACTTAGACAGGAGGGACCTGGGGAGAGGTGGTTCTGTTCTCCGCTCTCCATCTCTGGATGTCTGCATCACCTTCCTTCCCCGCCCTCTCCTCTCTTCCCTTCTTTCTCTTCCGATAACCAAAAACCGAAAACCCCATCCTACCTAGAAAAATAATACATTACTGTCAGCACCATTTCATGGTTTACATGTATTAGCACAACCCCATTTTCCCAAAATCTCCACTTCATTTAACAAGGAAGCGTTGGTTTTGTATCACACATTCTCCTCATATCATCATCCAATATGCCGCTTAATACCTGCATTCTCCTAATTTGCTTATTAAGCGCCTTTCCACCCCTTATCAGAGCTACCCTCAATCTCACCCTTCCCCATCAACATCCCGATCCCGAAGCGGTTGTTCAAGATGTACAACGGTAAGCCCAAAACAAATCTGCATCTGGGCTCTTCTTCTTCTTCTTCTTCTTCTTCTTCTTCTTAATAGGGTTTCTTTTCTGTCCTGCTTCTTCTCTATCATTTCAATCTGGGTTACTCTGTTTTCCCTACTTTTGCAGGAGAGTCAATGTGTCCGTGTCGAGGCGGCAAATGCTGGGGGTTTGGGAGAAAGGCCAGTCGTCTTGTCTCACTGGAAACCCTATCGACGACTGCTGGAGGTGCGACCCGAACTGGCAGGCGAACCGCCAACGGTTAGCCGATTGCGGGATCGGGTTCGGCCGAGACGCACTGGGCGGGAAGGGCGGTCAGATCTATGTGGTCACGGATTCGTCCGACCGTGACCCAGTCAACCCTACGCCGGGAACGCTACGATACGCAGTGATCCAAAACGAACCCCTCTGGATTGTGTTCTCGGGCAACATGATGATAAGGCTGAAGCAGGAGCTCATCGTGAACAGCTTCAAGACCATCGACGGCCGCGGCGCCAACGTCCACATCGTGGGCGGCGGATGCATCACCATCCAGTACGTTAGCAACATCATCATCCACAACATCCACATTCACCACTGCGTCCCCTCCGGTGAGGCTAACGTGCGCTCTAGCCCGACACATTACGGCTGGCGCACGAAATCGGACGGCGACGGTATCTCCATCTTCGGGTCGAGGAAGATATGGATCGATCATTGCTCGCTGTCCTACTGCACGGATGGTCTGATTGATGCCATAATGGGGTCCACCGGGATTACCATATCCAACAACTATTTTTCCCATCACAATGATGTAATGCTGCTTGGACACAACGACGAGTATCCGCTGGATATCGGGATGCAAGTGACCATTGCGTTCAATCACTTCGGTGAGGGGCTCGTACAGAGGATGCCCAGGTGTAGGCGTGGCTACATCCACATCGTTAACAACGATTTCACTCAGTGGCAGATGTACGCAATCGGCGGTAGTGCCAATCCCACCATCAACAGTCAGGGCAACCGCTACATTGCGCCGTCGAACCCGGATGCCAAGGAGGTACAGTAGTAACAGTACTACAGTGAGACTCCAATATTAGGGGTTTATCGATACCATGCGCTCCTGTTGCCGTGTTTTTGCTAACGTGCACTTTGTGGTGTGGGTCCGGATCGGAGCAGGTGACAAAGCGGGTGGATACGGGAGAGGGCGAGTGGACGAGTTGGAACTGGAGGACGGAGGGCGACATAATGGTAAATGGAGCGTTCTTCGTGCCATCCGGGGAGGGTCTAGGGGTGAAGTACGCCAAGGCGTCGAGTGTGGAGCCCAAATCGGCTGGGCTCATTGACCAGTTAACCATGAATGCCGGTGCCTTTGGGGGAAGCAGGTATGCCTTTTTCTCTCTTCTTGGGTTATTCACTTTCCGGTATCTCATATCCAATTCTCTATCCACAACTAAGTTAACTACCGGTTTAACTGTCATAGACGAAGGGCATTTTCGTCAATTAAACTTTATTATATTGTTCACGACGCCACCTCCATGACATACCCCCATTTGGGGTGTTAGAGTCTGCAGCTTTTCGATGTCCTAGATGGAAGAATTCAATCCAAATTCCAACAGAATCAAAACTACTCTACCAACTAGCCCGGTTTGGAGTTGAACGTTGGGTCATATTTACCATGGAAGCCCGAGCCATTGATAAAAGGAAAATATATA